ACACACACACACATTTATATATATATATATTATATATTATATATTCTTATTCTCCTTTGCATCATTTAGGAGCTGTTGGATTGATTTCTCATGGTCCCTTACTATTTTAAGAGACCTCTCTTTTCATAGTCACTGACCACCATCCTGTCTTCTATATCTGATACGCTATCTTCAGTCTGTTGTGTATACTTTCAATAGAGTTTTTACTCTCCTGGATATCTGTTTGAGTCTGTTTCATGAATTCTATTTCTTTCCTATGTTGGGCATTCATAGTTTCCATTTCTTTCCTCTGATGTACATTCATGGCTTCTATCATGGTCCTGAGCTCATCTATTTTTTAAAAATCTATTTCTGTTCTAGAGTCTCTAATCATATCTTTCATTCTGTTCACCATCTCTGTAGTTATCTGCAAAATTACTTCTGTTTTGAATTTTTCTAGAGCCTCATTCATCTGTTTTGTTACTTCCTGTGCTATCAGTTCCGTGTGTCCAGTTGGTTGATTATCAGACTTTTCTACCTTATTTCCCCCAGAATTCACCTTTGGTGAATCAAAGTCTAAGTTTATGCCTTGCTTAAATGTCTTCTCATTTTAATTTTTGCTGTTGGTACTGTCCTTGGTTTAATTACTGGGTTAATACTTTGATCTTCCACATATAGCTGATCTTTAGGTTTTGAGTCTCTAACGACTTAGACACACTCTCATTTTCATTATACCAGGAAGGACAACTGATTAGATCAGTCACAGCACCTTAGCCCAAGTGATACAATCAGCAACACAACAGCATGAAGCACAACTTAGAAAATGACAATATGTGATAGTTATTAATCTATCACCTTTAACCATGTGAATTAAATAAAAATTGAGGACCAGCCGAAAATACATTCATAGTGAATAAACTCTTCAATATAGCAACTTTACCCTTTAGGATGGGGATTTAGAAGGGAGAGAGGTAGAAAGATAGGGGAAGGTTAGAAGTGAGGCCAGAGGACACAAGAAGATCACACAAACTCGAGAGAACTGTTAAAGACAAGAGGGAAAGAGAACGAAAGAACAAAAACAAGAATAGAACACCCTAACAGCAATAAGGAAGCTAGAGATTGTATTCACTTTCCTTTGAAACTAATAACAATCAAGGGAAGAAAAGAAAATGAAAGAAGAAATCCAATTAGGGCAGGAACAGGAATAAAAAGGGAGATGAAGAAGAGTGTGGGAGAGCAAGAGATTGAGTGAGAGAGAGAGAGATAAAGAAAGAAAAAAGAAAAAGGAAGGATTTGAAGAGTAGAAAAATTAAAAATTAAAAATAAGAGGAAAAGAAAAAAAATTTTAAATAAAAAAAAAAGAAAAAAAAGAAAATGAAGGGCCTACTTCAGGGTATGTCTCTTCTGTCACAATGGACAACATGGGCAGCAGTGTGCAGATCTAAGTCAATTAGTCTCAGCAAGCCAGTGCAGACCCCTGAGATTCAGGCTGATTTCTGGCTCCAAGACCCAGATTGAGCTCCCTGACCTCCTGCAGGGTTGAACTCTGCAAGGTTCTGCTGCAGGTTCCAGCTGCCCTTCCCCTGAAGATAGTCCAGGTCCCGACAGGAAGTGGTGATCCCTCCAACTTACCAACCACAGTGGTCTGGTGTGCCTTTATTGCAGAGATTCTCCTCACTTTTCCAGGGGGCTTTGATTTTCATTAGGAAGCCTCAGCCTGAGAGAGGGCCTCTTTCTATTGTTCACTTCTGCTCTACTTTCTGGAGCTCAATACAATGGCCTTTGTGACTCTTGTGCCTCTATGGTGTGGATCTAGGTACCAGCACAACCAGGAGGCCAGAGGTGGGGTGGTGGTGGTGTTGGGGTGATGATGCGGGGGTGCCCGTGTGATTCCATTCCTCACTGGTCTGTGCTGCTCGGAAGCCCCGAACCAATACTCTCAAGATTGAAGGATTGCTGAAAGAGAAGGACTGCCAGGTGTGGTGGTGCATACCTGTAATCCCAGTACTCTGGGAAGCTAAGGCGGGAGGATCACAAGTTGGAGCTGTATAAGGCAATTTAGCGACTTAGCGAGACCCTGTTTCAAAAACAAAAATAGATAAACAAACAAACTAAAAAGGACTGGGTAAGTTAGATCTTTCAAAACTTTTCCTTCTGCCGGGTGTGGTGGTGCACACCTATAATCCCAGCATTTGGAAGGCTGAGGCAAGAGGATCGCTGTGAGTTCAAGACCAGCCTGGAATACATAGTGAGTTCCAGGTCAGTCTCAACTACATAGTGAGACCCTGTCTCAAAACAAACAAACAAACAAACAAACAAAAAAAACCCAAAACTTTTCTTCCTTTCTTTTCAATGCTAGGGTTTGAACTCAGAACCTTTTGCATGCTAGAAATGCACTGTATCACTGAGCTGCATCCACAGACATTTCAAAATTTTATTTTGACACAGGGTCTCCTTAAATTGCCTAGGTGGGCCTTGAACTTACACTACTCCTGCCTCTACTTCCTGAGTAGCTGGGATAACAGGTATGTGCCACTGTTCTGGCTTCCTCAAGACCTTTTAAAGAAGAGTTGTTTATAGATGCAAATTGGAAAATCATACCCAGTTTCCATGGCCTGCCTCTACCTAGATTCTCTGTAAACTGCCTTGGTTTCTTTCAGGTTTTTCAAACGCTCATAAGAAATCCACAGGGGTGGCATATTGGTATTGATCTCCTTATTGAAAACAGCTCATAGTACTTTGACAGAGTCCTTCT